GCTAAATTAGGGTAAGACAAGCGTAGTGGAAGCGGGAGTTCTAACCTAATCGATACCATGTCAGAATGAGAAAAAATGTGAACTGGATGTCAAACAGAGGTACAAATACTTAACCCTAACCCTAGCCTCCCAAAGTGTAACACCAACATGACAAATTTTACATACTCCGTGTGGACCAGGGGGGGGGGGGGGGGGGGGGGAGGGTCTTAGTATAATCTTTCCAATATAGAAAATAGGGGTATAACATGTCGGGATCCGACGCAGCTTCCGCGACCTCGTGAGCTATCGTGGAAATCATTGCGTCAATCCCGGGGTTTCCGTTGGTTGAAACCTTCTGAAACCCACAGCCTACCGGGCAAATACCGTGATGCCCCACGACGGCATAAATGAGACGGTTCGAAATGGAGTTTGTTTCCCACTGGATCATCGAGTGATACCCGCAGGAATCCACGCAAAAGCCAGGGACCTTTACGTCTTTGCTGGCGAGAATCAGGTAGATGCCATTGGGGTCATAACTGAGGGGTTTTTTTGTAGCCAATATTCTTCAGGATAACTGCCACAGTGTAAAGACAAACGATGACTTTTAGTTTTTTTTTTTCTTTCTTTCTTTTTTTTTTCTTTTTTGATATAAGTATACAACACGCATACATACATCCGCAGTCGTAACTGTTGCTAGGAGGGCTAAATGATTCAAGAAACATTTCCCCCCTCTTCATCCCTACGGAGGTTGGAAGGCCACCCCACCATCTTCCCAAATTGCCTTGAAGCCTGCCCTCCACGTCATCGAAGCTTCACATTGGTACAGTTTGCGCATAACTTCCGCCTCGTCAGCTGCTAAGTGACTCCAGTCGCCTGTCCTTTTCGTAGCCCCTTTGCCAGCCACCCTTTTCCGAGCCCGGCTGTAAATCTTCACGTGCCTTGTAAAACTCACTGCCATGCGCCGCAGTGCCCTTTTTGGCTGGAACCGACTACCCCTGAAAACCGCATTACATCTCTCCAGCCAGACTTGGTGCGCTGTGATCGAGATAAAAGCAGCCTCCGGAAAACCCGTCGTCGTGCTGCTTTCCTGGAACAGCATGTCGCCGAGGCCCTCCATGCTCCTGCCCGGGTTCATACACTGTACTGCCCTCTTCATCACCCCCACCACTGGTTGGATCGTGGGGCAGCTGAAAAGACAATGATCCTGTGACTCCACCGCCCCGCAATGAACACAGCGCGCCCTTGCGCCCAGGAACGGAAGCCTCTCCCCCACGTGCAGATTATTGCTATGCACTCTCAGCACTACTTCCCGCGCCCTGGCTGGGGTTGCAAGTGAGTCACGGATCTTGATGGCTCTCCTCCAGTCAATCTTTCTCCCCCTCACCTCTTCCCACTGCAGCTGCTGTTTGGGTTGAGCAGGTGGGGGCCTCATTGCACTCCGCAGCTGCCTTAGCTCTGCTCGCTCCCCCTTATCGCAGATTGGCGAGTATAGGAGTCGTGACCTCGGATCACCCAGCAGCCCTCGCATCCTCCCTTCTATGACAGCCATAGGGGTGGCGCGTAGGTGATCGACCGATGTTATACTGGCATACTCCACCGCAGTTATATGGCCTTTTTTATCAACATCCGCCCGTTTCCCGTATAGTACACCGTTGCTTGTGTACTCCAGCGTGTAATAGAAAAATTCCATTGGCCGGTATGACGGTGTACGGACCAAACGCGTCTCCCTGAAGATCTCCTATGCAGATACCTGACTAAGTAACATATCTCTCCAGCTCTGTGGCGCTGCTTCCCACGCTTTCCGAGCCCACTTTCGTTGATCAACCCCCCCCAGCTCCTGTTCTAGGGTGGCATCGCTCTTGAGGCTTCTGCTGCCGTCCCGGTTTTTCTCCACCAGGTCTCCCAAGCGTACCCCCTTCAAGCAGTGCGAGCCCGCCTGATTCCCAAAGGGCGACCGGCCTCTGAAAAAGATTTTCCGATTGAATAATAGCTGCTCCTCCTCCGCGTCCCATCTGTGTGCAGGGTCGCCCATGGTTAGGATTTTTGAGTCCCATAGGGCTTTAACTGCTGCCTTCCATCTTGTCCCTCCTCCCAACCAGTGGTTCAAGATCGAGGGATGAGCATAGATTGTCGCCAGACCGAGCGGGAAGCCTGCCGCTCTCTCCCATAGCCAAACTCTTAGCGGCTCCTGCTCCACCAGGGCATTTCCCAAATTCTGGATCACGTTGCTGTCGGTTCTGTGCTTCAGGTCAATCACCCCCAGACCGCCCTCTTTCCTCCCCCGACACGACAGGTCGTAGCTCCAAAGGACGAAGTGTCTGTCCAGTAGTGCTTTGCCCCCGGAGATGAAATTGTGGCAGAGTCGTTTCACCTTCTTCCAGATTTCGTGCGGCGGGGCGTATATTTGGGCCTGAAACAGCAGGATCGGCATCGCGTAACTGTTGATAATGGTGATGCGCGCGGATGTCTTGAGGTGTTTTGTCTCCCAGCAGCTCAACACCGCGCTTACACTCTCGAAAGCCTTGTCCCATGCTGGCCCCGGAGAGCCACCGGACGTAATCCAGATTCCTAACAACCGCTCCGCCCTGTCCTTGTCTGCCCAGGTGAAAGGTGAAGCCAGTGGCTGCAACCTCCTCCTATTCTTCCCCAGCGGCATCAGTGATGTTTTCTCCTGATTCACCTTTAACCCCTATATCTCTGCGAAATCGTCCAACAGCTTCTTCGCCGACACCACTTGCTCTCTCCCTTTCAGAACCAGAGTCGTGTCGTCGGCGTAGCCGATGTAAGACAGCTCCCTTTTGACCCCTCTCTTCCTGACACCCAGCTTTCTCCTTTCGATTTCCCGACAGAGCGGTTCTACGGTGCAGAGGAAGAGGTACGGGGCGAGAGGACAACCTTGACGAACTCCTTTGTCCATCTCCACCTTCTCCCCCATCCAGCCATTCAGTAGCATCCTGGTAGCCGCACCATCGTGAAGGCCCTTCACCCACGCCGAGAACCCTGGCGGGAAACCCATGTTCTCGAGTGTCTTGAACAGGTACTCTCGTGACACCGAATCGTATGCTTTCTGGAAGTCGACCAGAAGCAGCAACCAGTCCTCGTCCTCCTCCACTGCTGCGTCTATCGTGTCTGCTACAAGTGAGACTGCGTCCGCCAGGCTTCGTCCCGGGAGGAAGCCAAACTGGTTCTCCGATATCACCCTCGCTAATACCGCCTTGATCCTGTTTGCCAGTACTCTCGCCAACAACTTGTAGAAAAAACTCAGTAGGGTAATTGGCCTGTAGTTGCTCAAGTTGTCCCTGTCCCCCTTTTTTGTGTAACAGGATCGTAACCGCTGTCAAGAAAGCTTCGGAGAGCCGCGCCGTCTCTTCGAACTTTTTGACCTCCTTCATCACCGCCGACCCAAGGAGATCCCAGTTGCACTCGAAGAACTCCTTCGGCAGACCGTCCTGGCCTGGAGCTTTACCCGCTGGGAGCCCCTTGAGCGCCAACTTCACCTCCTGTTCCGACCATTCTCTCTCAAGCAGCTCCCGGTCCGCCTCTTGCAGCCTCCGTCTTTCATCGATCGGCCACGGCTCCTTGACGGTCCCCGCCGGTGAGCTTGCATACGCCTCGTGAAAGTGTTCGGAAGCCGCCCGCAGCACCTCTTTTGCCCCTTTCATGCGCGTGCCTTTGAACAGAAGTTCACTGATCTCTGTCTTCGCCTTTCTCGACTTGACCAGGCCCGATAGGAAGGCCGATGGTGTCTCACCCGCCAATTCAGCTAGCATCCCTGCCATGACCTGGAGCCGCTCCTTGTTTACATCTTGGTAAAGATTTAGAGCCGCTTCACTCTTTATCAGCTCCTCGTATGTATCTTGTGCCGATGGGTCTGCCATCACCCTCCACCGTAGGGACTCCACCTTCTGTTCCAGATGTAACATGGTCGCCTTCACCCGTTTCCTCTCCTCCGCTACGTGCGCTCTCATGCTTGCACACAGATGTGACATTAGCCTCTCCAAGCTCTGGGCCGGTTGGTCTGCTTGCGCCTCCAACACCGCTGCTATAATTTTATGAGTTCCTTCGCCACCAGTCTGTGCCGCCTGAAGCCTCCAGAGACCAGGACCATGGTCCCCTGCAGATGCCGATTTAAGTGTGAACGCTACCGCAAACCAATGGTCGGTGAGGCCGTAAGGCACCATCTTATGCTTCGCCTCTGTCACGCAGCTGAGCAGTGAGTGAGAGACTAAAATCCTGTCGATCCGTATACTCGTCCTTGCAGACCTGGAGAAGAAAGTGTATTCTTTGCGGCTTGGGTGCAGGCAGCGGAAAGCGTCCTGCAAGTCCCATCTCGAGCAAATCTGCAAGAGTCTCAAGTTTTCCGCCGGAGTCCCCAGCTTCGACGACTTATCCAGCTCCGGGTCAGCAACGATGTTCAGGTCTCCAAGGAGGATCGTATGAGGCGACGCGCCAAGGCTCTGCACAAAGGGGGTCAGTACATCCCGAAAAAACAACCCCCTTGCAGGGGCTTGCGCCGGTAGGTACACCGCAACTACTCTACAGCATAAATCACGCCACTTCACTATTAAACTCATAAGGCGGCCCGACTCATGTTTGACCACCTCCGTAAACCGCATCCCTTGCAGGAAGCCCAGGACGGCTAACCCACTGGCCCTCTGCGACGGACCCACGACTGCCTGAGCGTCCGACCTGACTTGTGTCCAGAAGTTATGGTCTGCTTGAACCCTGGTGTCTGTAAGGACTACAATGTTTGCTGTTTTTCTTAACCACTTGCCGCATCTCTCTTGCTTCCCGCTGCTACCGAGCCCGTTGATGTTGAGCTCGAGAAAGGTAAGCTGGTTGGCCTTATCCATTAATCCACTTCGTTGAGCCCCACAGCATCCACGGGCGGTTAAGCTTTATTGCAACGATACATCCTGCTACAGTGAAAGAGAACATGGCGCCTACTACACATCCTGCACCGACGATCCATCCTGCTGCATCATCCGAACCGGTCCAGGTATTTATGAAAGAGCCGCTGATCACTTCGTTGTGGGTTTGACGATGAACTCCCTCTTGAAAGCAGCCAGTTTCTGGGAGTGCTTGCTGGCGCGCGTTGCAGTGCCATCCGTCTTCAGCCCCCCTTTGTGCTTGGCAGATGCAACGTGAGCCGCTGCCTGTTCGAAGCGATTTCCTTGCGCCTTCTCGCACACCGTTTGCACACACACCCACTCCTCCCGCACACCTCCTGTGGAGGTGAGTACAACCGCGGGGTCTTTCAGGATGCGTTTCATGAGGGCTGAGGCTTTCAGGGATGCAGCTGCGGGGAGAAGTGGGGAAACAGCCGTCAGTAAGAGGTGAGAAATCCGAGGAAAGCGGTAAGGAATGCAAAGGTGGTGGACTTGAGTTCTTCCTGCTTATACCATTCATCTCATGAACCTTTTTGACCGTCAGGTTCCAGCTGGTAAAATTCTCCTGCCTCGAGGTGATGTAGTGATCGTGATACCGTGATATGTGCTGGCCGTTACAGAGTTCACAGGTGAGTGACGGAAAGTGCAGCAGGTAGCGTCTTCAAGTCGACGGGTCTTCAACAAAGTACCTCCAGCGATACTCATCGGCAGCATGAGGGACGATCAGACCACGGATGCGGTCAGTATCCAACCCAGTGACCGGATCCACAGTGCGATGAAAGCCGAAACCGCTGGCGAAAGCGCTCCTGCCGCGTTTGACCAGCTTAGACACCACCAGCAGATGGCGGATCAGCTCAGCAGTGATCTCGGCCGGCACTCCCTTAACCACCACCTCCTTCGCCGATGGGTTCAGAATACATTCCCGGAGAAAATGCGCGTCCTCCGGATGTTGCCAGGTGAGGTCGATGATGTCACCATTCACGCACTCGTGCTTGATGATCTGGTTCCAGACGTAGTTCGCGTCCCTGACACGGTTGAAGGTGACTTGCAGGCGGCCGTAACGTGTGCCTGAGAAGTACGTCGCCGTAAGCTCTTGGTATGTCGTCGTCTGTAAAACATCCCGGGATAACTGGTCTTTCTCGTCATCCAGCAGCGCTGCAACCGTTACAGCAGCACGCTTGACTTCAACTTTCCTGGAGATCGGCACCAGCAAGGTTAGTGAGAAACGTTTCAAAGCAATGACACTGCTGAGCGAATTAGGTTCCAAGTGTTCATCCGAATCGTCGCTCAAGTAGCCGTCGTCTTCTTCGTCAGGAGCCGCGACCGACGCCGCTTCCTCATCCTCGTGATCAGTGACATCCACAACCGGTTCGTCAGCCACTCCCTTTTGTTCCTGATCTGCTTTCTCTTCCTCTTCATCCACGCCATCTTCAGCATGACCATCCTCCTGGTCCGCATTGGTTTGCAGGTCAAGGAGATCCTGGAACGGGCCAATCACATCAGCAGGCGACGGAGCCGAAGGCGTACGACTCTTGTCAGCAGCAGTCTTCGCAGGTACGGCAGGTACGTCAGTCCCTTCCTTTACGCGATCGTCATCAGCAGTCTTCTTGCCAGCTTTGTTGTTGCGTCCCTTCCCCATGGTGCGATGATGAGAACGACTTGACAGCCCGTCAGTGGCTGAGAAGCAAGCAGATCTGAGCACAATCCTCAAGCTTGGTGTCATTTTATATCTCTTGTGTTTGAAAGCAAATCGTTGCAGATCAAGGCCGGATAGGTCCAGAGCTTCCTTCGAGGCTGACATCTGGCCTTGGGAGTTGTTGGAGTTAAAACCGTGAAGACTCCAGTGGTTGAAGCCATTGATGTTGACACGATATCTTGATGATGTCTCCTGAAGACCGCGATTAAACCAATGGATTAGCAGATAATTCAGATGGAAGCTTTTAGTCAATGATGAGGCACGAGAGCCTTGGTTGGAAGTAGTTCTACAGGAGGAGGTAAACGGGAAGATGGACGAAGGAAGAAACCTAGGAGGCACACACACCTTGCCAGGGAGTGTGAGCATCGCAAATTTTCCCCATAGACCCTTTGTCTCGGACAACCTTTGCGACCTTCACCTGGGAAAGGCAGGGGGTGGGACCGCCTTTTTTATTTTAATTTTCCACAAGCGGCAAACACTTTTTGTACCTCACAGACGCATATGTTTGTATCTGCACCAGCCCGTTCGCGGTTCACAAATGTCAGCTCCAGTGTTTCACAAATGCCCATTTTTTCTACATTCTCTACATACCTCCGTGGTGATGGTGACCCTTGTCTCGTCTTCTGCCTCTGAGTAGTATTTTGAATTGGTCGCCCACCAATAGCTCACTTTGGGATCCTCGGCTACACCCTGTTTATCGGCGCTTCCCAGACTCAGCGACGGGATAAAATTCTCTATTATATTCTGTCCGTCGCTTTTTGTTGCCCAGCTGCCATAGTAGATTATGTATATTTTCAGCGTCGTGCCGTTCATCACGGGACCGTTGTGGTAATCGATACTAGGGAGGGCGGACGATGTGGTGGAGTCTGTCTTGAACATGTACGACCGTTGCTGAGATCCCAGGCGGTCGACTACGTGAATCAGCTTTCGCTCACGGCCGCTTAGGTGTCGCTGACGGAGGTACTCATAGTGCGCTTGTCGCGTGCGAGAGATGCGGCGCACAGGGCCAGCGAATGCTGGTGAGAAAACCGAGAGGCAGACGAGCAGGAGGAAATCGATGATTTTTGCCATGGCGGTGAACGACAAGGATAATCACTATTAGGAAAACGTCAGGAAATGTTACTAAACCTACTAGGAAAACGTCACTACTAAGAATCTACGAAATTGGTTTGTTGTTCTCGGAACTCATCCGTGCCTTTTCATCGAAACTGATGAACTGTGATCTGGCACCTGTCACTACGATTCTTCAGCACAGTGTTTGAGGGTGCGGTACAAGTTTGCTCGGATGTGTCGTTGTTGACTCTTAACAAAGCCGCATCCACAGTATACTACCCTTAAAGGTCCCCGTGCCCGAGTTCTAACCAAGTTACGACGGGGTGTTCATTGCGAAAAACACCCATTTACGAAGTTTGTTTTACCAGTGCGAAGCTTGTTACTACAATATATCTATCTCAATCGTCGTTGACCAAACCGTCAACCCTAGAAGAAAATAGTGGTCGACAGAAAATCAAGGAAACCAGATGTGTGGGGGGTGGGTGTCAAATATTTAAGCTATAGCCTGTGTAGGCTATAGTGGGGTAGATACTATGGGGTACAGTTTCCTAGGGTTTCATATTTGTACCCATCTCATTTCCTAGTCAATCATTCCCTCATTTCTTCACAGTGGGGGTGGATTGGGCGGGGTTGGGGGGGGGGGGGAGGGGGGAGTGTGGACCATGTATTTTCTCAGAACATCCTTTCAAGAGGCAACTCTGAAACCGAATGTACTGCGCCCGAAACGCCCTGAGTGTTTGTGGGTCCAAAATGCCCGCACGTGTCTTTGTGAGGAAGGAGAGATTTACGAGCAGGTCACAAACATTGGCTCAATATCACGGATGTTCACTCGTTTCTTCAGTATGAGTGATTTTCACTCGTTTCTTCAGTATGAGTAATAGCCGAGATAAATTGTATCTGTATTTAGAAGCTGTGGAAAAAGGGTAAAATAGCTTCGGCAACAACTGGAATAGGGTAATAGCCATCAGAGATTCCCTCGCACTCTGGAGGGAAGGAAACTTTGGAACACTGCCTCTAGATCTGCCAAAAAAATCAAGCGGTGGCCTCGTCGCTCAAACGAGCCTTTTGTATGATTAATGCAGCGCGAACAGTTTCCTCCTTGGGAGATCTCTTCTGGAAGGCAGGATTCAGATCAGCCTTCCCGGAAGCGACAATCGTAGCCGTCACGATCCATCAGCTGTGGCTGGAACGTTGCGATACAGCTTTCAGATGACGGAAATTCCGAGCGAGGCGGGTGCTGCGTAGGATCAAAACTGCATTTCGCCAATATGCAAGGGTTTGCACTCGAACAAGTGAGGACCAATGGAGGAAGCGGGAAGGCTCATATTAAAAGGGAAAAATACAGCGCCAAAAGGGAGGAGAAAATAACGTTGCTAAGCTGGCTACACGATCACAACAGCAAGATGTGGTAGTGGAACAACGCATTTGCTGCCATCTGGCAGCTCCAGAGGCCAAACCACCGACCTCCATAACAGCATCGCGTGAGGTGGCCACGTAGCTACCTCTCACGCACAGTTACGACTGTCTTTGATATCGTACACTTGATGTATTCGTGTATATATCATCACTATTATAAAACGTTTTACTTTGCGGAATTGGTCTCGAAATTGTTTCGGATGTAGCACAGAATTTAGGGAAAACCCTAGTGGCAGATCTGAATCTCTACCTTTCAAAGTTTCAACTTTTCATTGAGTGTTTCATTACGTGGTCGAACGTGATAGAGTTGCGTGATAGTGATCATCCTCAATATATTTTCGAACTTGTGACATTTTGCGAAATCCGAGGACCATTCGTAACAACGAGCCAAATCTGTGACAATTTGTGTAATTTCTCGTGAGGACGTGCCCCATTTTGTTCGTTCACTACTCACAACGCCCAGCCTTCACCACTCTCTCCACTACTACGAACAGTCGCACTGCGACTAGAAAGTGTGAGGTGTGGTACAGTAGGACGGTTGTGGGTGCAATGAAGTACTGTATATGTCGACTTATCCGCTGAATTTTAAACTATTCATCTGTCGACTATTCATCCCATGATGTTTCCATTGGACAGCGCGCCTACAGCGCACCCCCGGATTGCTGGTGCGTACTCTGTAGCGAAACTGTAAACGCATTGTTGCCCCGTGGAGTACACCGAATTGTTGCCAGAAATTTACTCACTTCAGCCCGGTTCACTGTTTTGTAAATAAAGAAATCGGATACGATCATGTACACTACTGAGTGGCTGGTAACACTCACAGCTTTAACTACTAAATTGTCGCACGCTGTATTCACCTGACATGCACCGATTTTCAATTCAACATGGATGGGCAGTTTCACCAGGTCATCACAGGTCACATGGCGAGATGGTGCCGCATTATGATGTTAACCCATGACGTGTCCAAACCGCAGCACACTTGACGGGCCGAGGGCGTCGTCTTCCTCGCGAGATCACGGGCGCGACGCGAGAGAACTTAATGCCCTCGCCGTCGTGACCCAGGTCTCGCGAGGAAACGCGGGTGGCACTCACCCAGCTCGGCCGACCCTGGAAGATCTGTAAACCCAAAAACAAACCCAACAAACCCATGAGTTCCCTTCAGAACTTACTCGTGAATTTTGGGTCTCTGTCTGAGATGAGTGTAGCGGGGATGAAGGGGATGGTGACGATGCGGTCGAAGAAGAGGCGAGCAATTGCTTCAGTAGTAGCAGTGGCTTTGGTCGGGATGAAGTGTCCAATCTTAGAGAACTTGTCGATCACCACGAGTATTGCGTCATGCCCTCGTGAGGTAGCCCAGTAATGAAGTCTAGGCTAACGACTTGCCATGGCTACTCCGGTACGGGTAGAGGCTGAATTAACCCTGCTTTTTTCTGGTTGCTACTCTTGATCCGATGGCATGTGTCGCATGAGGTGACGAACTGCCGCACGTCTGCTGCCATCCGGGGCCAGCAATTATACTTTGCTATTCCCGCTAAAGTCTTGTTACTCCCGGAATGTCCCGCGTATGCTACGTCGTGAAACTCCTCCAGTAATATCTGTTGAAGCGGGGCATAGTTCGGTACCCAAATCGTTCCTGAATTATTCCTTACCGCTAAGTCTTTCTCCCACTGTAACAGTTTATGTTTCCGTGCTGTAGCAATCTCTGCGTCCATGGAGTACCCATGCTGGAATAGACCCTTGAGCTGGATGCCAACTACATGCCCCCGGGGGCTCAGTGCGTCGGCCTTGTTATGTAGCCCTGGCTTGTAGATGATGTCATAGTGGAAATGTGTTTCTAGAAAGTCCATCCACCGCACCTGTCAATGTGAGAGCGTAGGCTGCGACTTGAGGTATTTGAGACTGCACTGGTCAGTGTAAACTGTGGTCTTCACTCCCTTCAGGCAACACCATGCCTTGAAGGCTGTGAGTATCTCTAAGGCTTCCTTGTCATCAATTGGGTAATTCAGTTCTGCTCCGTGTAGCTTCTTACTGAGGTAGGCAATGGGCTGCAAACCACGTCCGTGATCCTGCATCAGTACTGCTCCGACTGCCTGGTCACTAGCGTCTTCTTCCACCACGTAATCTTTCTCTGGATCCGGTAGGATGAGTACTGGGGCAGTAGTCAGTGATGTCTGTAGCTGCTCCATGGCTTGCTGTTGAGGAGTATCCCATTTATAGGGCGTATCATTTTTCAGTAAGTTCGTTAGTGCCGTTGCTATCTTAACGTACGCACAAACTTGTTGTAGTAGTTGGCGAAGCCTAGGAACTGCTGCAACTCCTTGACGTTCTCCAGCACTTTCCACTTCTTGACGGCTTCGATTGATCGAGGGTTCACGTGTACTCCCTCCGCACTCACCATGTGCCCGAAAAAATGCACCTTCTTCAGTGCGAAGTCGCTCTTTGACAGCTTCACGTAGAATTTGTTCTCCCGCAGG